ATTGAGATGCAAATTAAAAAGTTACATAAGACACAAAGCAACAGTATATAGTACACTTATTTTCCTTATCGTAATTCTACTGAAGCCAAAGTTGTTTTGATTATTTAAAAAAGTTCTAATAATACTATTTCATCACTAGGCAATTGGCTGATATATAAATGATTAGTGCAGCTTGAGTATGGAAACAGCAAGGAGGAGGATATAAATGTTTTTATTACCTGTAAAGCAATACACAGCTTGATAACAACACTATTATATATTTTTACAGCTTCCTACTATTAAGAGTTATTTTATTAACAGATATTTGCCATGTAACATTTAGGAGAAATGAACATTTCTGGGCTGCAAAAATCCAGATAATGATTAGGTGGCAGCAAAGGATTTCCTGTGTCTCTTAGCTTCCATTCACTGATCATTACAATCTAGATATAATAGACCTAATTTACAGTATTTGGGAAATTCAGCCAATTCTGGGTAATTAGCAAAATATAGCTAATAAACTAGATGTTTTGTGTAAACTAAATCTTGGCCTTGTGCATGGAACATAATTAGATTTAATTAGCTGAGCATTGAAAAGATTTATTGCTTTTGTGCATAACAGGTTTGTTTTTTAATTGGACAAAGCTACATATTTTAGAGTTTTGCCTTTTAAAATTCTTTTTAAAATCATTATTATTGCACTTATTAAAGTTTTATGGCCTCTCTTCTCTTTCGACTCTGCTAGCCCAATTTTTGTGGTATTCACTATTAATGTACTGCAACTTTTGCTTCACTACATTTATTTCGTTTATTTTGAGGTCGCTCAACTGCTAAAAAGACTCTGGATAACTTACAATATTTAAAATTATACATCATTTAAAAGAACATGACTGTCCAGACAAAACCACTTAATGACATCCAGAAAAATAGTAGTGTTTACCAAGCTGAGAATTATCAATATTTGAAGGTGCTAAATATACAGTAATTGATAAATGAATTTCAGACACATAATGCATATATATGAAATTACTCAGCTATGTATACCGTATGACGTGATAATGGAAACACCTGTACATATGCCTCACTTAGATGCAGAGATTCCTATTCAACAAACCAGAAAGCATCTAAAGAGGCCTTCTTACCCCACATTTCTAAGGAAATCATAGTTCAGAGCAAGTGTTTTCAAAATATATCCCTGAAAAATAGTAGAAACTGCAACTTCCAGGTTCAAGAGCTGACTGATTATAGATTACAGATAGTCCTTGACTTACAACAATTCGTTTAGTGACCATTTGAAGGTTATAAAGGCACTGAAAAAAGTGACTTATGACCATTTTTCACACTTATGTCTGTTGCAGCATCCCCATGGTCATGTGATCAAAATTTCAGACTCTTTGCAACTGACTCGTATTTATGACGGTTGCAATGTTTCAGGGCCATGTGATCACCTTTGGTGACCTTTTGACAAGCAAAGTCAATGGGAGAGCCAGACTGACTTAATAACCAGGTTACTAACTTAACATCTGCAGTGATTCACTTAAGAACTCATAAAAAGGGGTAAAACTCACTTAACAAATGTCTGACTTAGCAACAGACATTTTGGTCGTAAGTTTGGTCTACATTTAGATCCTTTCTTTCTGATCGCTTCATTATTTCTACTTCTTTTCAGTTGTGATCTTTTTTGTTTCCTTTGATGCATCAGGACTTGCATCTGTTTTACAGTTCAAAGGCACGATTACAAGGTAAATAAGAGAAAAAATTAAGCCAAACACAAAGTTCCACACGCAATACATTATTAATAGTAACATGATCTGATTTATAATGGCGAACGGTGTTTCTCCTTCCTCAGGCCAAGAAACTGAAGCAGCGCAATGTTTCATGAATGCCACAAAGTAGTATGTATGTTCATTATTACAAACCATTGTATTTCACTGAAAATTTTAATGTAATAGGCTTTACTGCAATCAATTTGTAAGTACGCGTTGTTGGCCGCTCTTAACTCGAGGATTATCTACAGGTGATCCCAGTGACATTTTGCACATTTTGATTTGAACTGAAACTTTAGAGGAGTGTATATGTTTGAACAGGAAACAGTATTTGAAAATTTCTCTTGTGAAGAAAGAGAAACTTCTGAAATATTTCTAAATATCTCAAACAAATAATGGCTGTTTCCTATCTTGTAATTGGCATTACAGGGAGTGCTCAACTTAGTACTGCACGGGTGTCAAACTGCCGGCCCATGGGCCGGATGCATCATGCGGAAGCCGCACCCACCCCATTGCCAGCAATGGCAAAACTCTCCCGATACGTTGCGCGACGTCATGTGATGTTGCGAGTTTGACATGTCTGTACTACTGTAATTGAGCCAGGAATTACAATCATAAGTTGTGCCAGTCATTAAGCAGGTCACCATACCACTGCACCCGATTTGATGACCTTTTTTTGTGGCGATTGTTAAGTGAACCTATTACACTTAATGGATATTTTTTTTTGCCAGAAACTGAAAGTGGGATAGCTGTCGGAAGTTCAAAATTGGGTCATTAAGTAGCTCTGGGGAGGACTGCTGAGCAACTGGTCATAAACTGAGGATTTTCTGTATATAGATTGAGTTTAATAGATTACAGTGTACGTGTAAGCATTGTAGCTAATGGAAATACTGTTTCAATAAAACTAAATGAAGTATGGTATTGTTATAATGTTGTGACTGATTGACATGTATTCTGTATACACCTTATAGGTATACACCATGCTGGCTCAGGAATTCTGAGAGTTGAAGTCCACGAGTCATAAAAGAGCCAAGGTTGCCTACCCCTGTTATAGTAGATAAGATTGATTCTAAGCATAAGATCCTATTTATTTTGGGCTGGATCAGGGTTATTGTGGCCTCACCAGGAGTAATCTTGTTGGAATCATCTTCTCAGGCTTCATAATTCTAGTGAAAGTGGAAAATGACCCAAAGATATTTGAATGCAAAACATATTTCTGACTCATGTAGTATTCATCTTCTGTTTAAAACTGCTGAAACTATATTGTTTCTACACCAGGGAAAGTGTTATGCATTCACTACTCTATTTAGCTCCTGTTGTAAATGATTTAAGTTCTCATAACTTCCAGTCAGCATGCCCACTTGGACACTGTGGAATTGAAATTTAATATTTTTCAGGATAGGTAAATTCATATGACAGTATGTATACTAGCTAAACTTATTTCTATTCTTAGTAGATGTTGATGATTTGGAAAACACAAAGGATTGGTAGCCAAGAAAAGAAACAAATAGCAAGAACAAATAAAATAAATAAAAAGAGGTCTCATTGGAGGTACAAGTGATCAAGCTCCAATTATAATATATTTTGGAAACATTATGTGAAGACCAAGCTGCCTTAAGAAGTTTTTAATGCTGGAAAAGGAAAAAGGAAAGAAGAAAAGAGAAAGACCAGCACCAAAATGTATGGACTTACAGTGGGGATTGGGGCACCATTGGAAGACCTGAAGAGACAGGTTGAGGAGTGAGCATCCAAGAGAAAATCTGTTTAGGTAGTAACTAAGAGTCAGTATTAACTTGAGGATGCATAAGCAATCCATTAACTGCTTGTCAACATGTTAAATTTATTTAAATGCCATATAGCAGTGGTGGCAAACCTATGGCACGCGTGCCAGAGGTGGCACTCAGAGCCCTCTCTATGGGCACGCGCACCATGTCCCGGAGATGACAACTGTCCCTCTTCAACCAGATGCCCACTAACTCACCAAGGTCCCATTTGGCCAGATGCATCCCAGCATGGCTGATTTCCCTCCCCCTCGTCCCATTCCCTCCTGGCCTCGCATACTCTCCTTTTCGTGGGCACGACCCACTGCATTGCCTCCTCAACTGTCGGCCGGCTGTCCAGCTCAGAGGCAGCTTCTCTGAACTTCTGGAGGAGGGCTGTGGAGCCCCAGAGTGCGCTGGTCGAGGGGCTGGCAGGCTGTTGCTGCTCATGGACACTGTCGGCCCCCATGCAGTCACTGGCCTCTGTGTATCAGGGCCGATGGTGTCAGGCAGAAGCCGCCCCCGCCCTGCCTCGCCTTCCCCCACAGGATGAGCCTCCTGCCCACCGCCCCACCTGTCAGAGACACCCTGGATCTCCCCCAATCCTGCCCAGCCCCCACAGGCATCCCTCCACACAAGCAACATTGAGGTGACCACGCCCACCTTGGCCACACCAACCCAGTCTGCCATGACCATCATATTCATGCCCACCCAGTGGGCCACGCCCACCTGGCACCCGGTGATAAATAAGTGGGTTTGGGGTTGCAGTTTGGGCACTCGGCCTGTAAAAAGTTCACCATCACTGCCATATAGATTTAACACAAATGAAAAATCTGCAAGAGCATTTTCCACCATTACCATCCAGATACGTTGGTTAAATTCTGCAATATTCAGTAATACTTAGCGGGTGAATGCTGAGAAGCAGGGCTAGGATTGGCTAATATTTGCAGGGGAGACTCTCAGGGAATCCCTGAGCTGCCAACTATATGGAGAAGTTGAAACAACAATGGTGAATTACAACTATGGGTGTGTCTCATTGAGGGAGCCCAACTCCTGGTTCTCAGTGTGTGGACTATTTCGATTTGACAGTATGTGGGGGGGTCCAGCACAGCTTCTGAGCATCAGTTGTGGAAGGTTGCTCTAAATCAGTGTTTCTCAAAACTTGGCAACTTTAAGACGTGTGGACTTCAATTCCCAGAATTCTCTAGCTACTATGAAGAGTTGAAGCCCGCATGTCTTAAAAGCCGCCAAGTTTGAAAAACTCTGCTCTAAAATGTTCGCTGCACGAATCCAGACAGGACCAGACTGAAATGCTATGAGTTGTCAACGGAAGTTTTGCTACAATGATGTCATAACAGCAGCTATGGATAAAGTGTACTTACTCTGAGGAGCTGAACCGACGTAAGCGCCAGTGTCGCAGGGAAGAGAGCGGGGAACCGGAGCAAGCATCCCTCCTCCAATCCTCCAGAGGGCAGCATTCTTTTCTCGAATGGTTCCTCTTGAGGCGAACTCCCTCGTCTTCCTGGTCACGTGCCGCGCCTGCGTCCTAAACTCGGCCTTTTTTCGCAGCATTACGGGTTGCGGACGTTTCGTTAGGTGGCCCTCGGCCTAAAACAAAACGGGATACAACCGGCAATCATGGTCAGTACCGGGCCCAAACGAGCCGTGGTGGGGAGGGCGGGACCGGCTTTGCATTCCCGAGCTCGGGGAGCTTCTTGTGTGTCTCCTGCTGCCTGGATGGATTCCGATTAGGCAGCGGTGGGCCCAGCCGCGGAAGCAAGTTCCAGCGTGGCTGGAATGGCTGCTCTCGCTGTGTTTTAAGTTGCTGCTGATGGGAGAGCTGCGGCCTCCCTGAGCTTCCTTCAGATTGTCTCCCGAGTCTGCTTTTCTCACGTTCTCCCGTTTTGCTTCTCCTGTTTCCATTCCGACTGAAGAGGCCCCAAGCAACCCTTTTTCATTAGCTCTCTCTCTCTCTGGGAAATGGAGGGTAGTTTAGACTGAAGCTCTTGAATGTATGAAAGGCTTCCTAGGTATGTCCGTACACACATGGAACTGGGCTTGGCTTAAGGAGAGAACTGCGATCCCTGCAGGATTTGGGCCTGTGGAATGAATGAGAAACAACAGGGGAGCCAACTTGGTGTCATTTGATGGTTTTGCAGAGAAGTCCTAATTATGAGCCTTCTCCTAGATATGTCCTTTTTTTCTAAGCGTGTCTAAGCTTCCTTGACGTTTGCTGTGTCTGGATGTGTGTATCCAGGCCATGGGTTTTCCCAGTTGCAATGTATGGCTGTGAAAGTTGGACCATAAGAAAGGCTGAGCGCCGAAGAATTGAGGCCTTTGAACTATGGTGCTGGAGAAGACTCCTGCGAGTCCCTTGGACTGCAAGGCGTTCAAACCGGTCACTCCTAGAAGAGATCAACCCCGACTGCTCTTTAGAAGGCCAGATCCTGAAGTTGAAACTCAAGTACTTTGGCCACCTAATGAGAAGGAAGGACTCACTGAGAAGGGCCTAATGCTGGGAAAGATTGAGGGCAATAGAAGAAGGGGACGACAGAGAATGAGATGGCTGGATGGAGTCACTGAAGCAGTAGGTGTGAACTTAAATGGACTCCAGAAGATGGTAGAGGACAGGAAGACCTGGAGGAACGTTGTCCATGGGGTCGCGATGGGTTGGACATGACTTCGCAATTAACAACAACAACAGCACATAAGACTGGTTCAGGGTTGCTTCATGTATTATATTTTTCCACTGAATGGATAAACCTCTAATTGTGAGAAACAGCAACAGGTTTAATTTTTTTAAAAAAGACTTTAAATAATGTAGAGTGAAAGCATTGGTCTGGCAGTCTGTCAAGCTAAATAAAGCTGCTGTATTGCTCTGACATTCTTGTTTTTTTGTGTAAAAAATACATAATTGTTTTATAGGGCTGATTAGCGCCAAATATATCCAGGAATAGTTTCTGGAGGAGCATATTTTCAAATGAAAAGGAGTCCTAGTTGGTCCTAGCAGACTAGGATGTCATGTTACAGGATTATTTACTTTGGAAAGGCAGAAGACTGAACCCATTTCATCAGCAAAAGGAAATAGGTGATTTTTTTTCTTGATTCAATAGGTATGGTTGCTGTTTTTTTAGAATTTAGTTCACTATTGACTTTTTTCCAGCCGCAGACATTTTTATGAGACAAGGGTAGATGGATAGTATGTAATTTGGGAAATATAAATAAAAACTAAATTCATCATATGTAATTTGTTGATTATAGATGGGTAGTAATGGAAAAAAAATTGAGTACTTTCCTATATAGGTTGTCAGTGCTTCTGATGATTTTCAGTGTTTTCACAGGTAATTAAGGTAGAATTCTGTAAGCATCTCTACTGCCAGAATGAGTTTTCCAGTACTGTTTTCCATTTTGCACCTTATTCTTTATTTTCAACTTCTTGGTTCTCGAATCTTTTTCTCTGTCATAGACCAGCATAAAACAAACATGAAAAATTACATGTTTCATTAATTCTTCTAAGCTTCCCCCCCCTTTCATTTGATAAATTGACATATAAATGTTCTAACTTTTTTTATCCATTTATTCAAGGGTTTTGTCAAAGTTGTCAAGAATAAGGCCTACTTTAAGAGGTACCAAGTCAAGTTCCGAAGAAGGAGAGGTCTGTTTTGCTTCTTTTACACATCTTCAGTACATTGAACGGATCATGGCATAAAGAGGAAAATCCTAAATCTATTTGATCTGTTTTTTTTTTCCTTATTCAGAGGGAAAGACTGATTACTATGCTCGTAAGCGCTTGGTGATTCAAGATAAAAACAAGTACAACACTCCTAAATACAGGATGATTGTACGTGTCACTAACAGAGATATCATTTGCCAGGTAAGGGCATCTTTTGATTTTGGCTGTTATATAGTGATTTTGTATAGATATTTTATAATGCATAGCATCCTTATGAGCATGTTTATCTAGGCCAGGGATAGGCAGCCTTGGTCATTTATGACTTGTGGACTTCAACACCCAGAATTCCTGAGCTAGCCATGCTGAGGAGAAAGGGAGAGGTTTCCATGCTGAGCCATGCTGGCTCAAGAATTCTGGGAGTTGAAGTCCACGAGTCATAAAAGAGCCAAGGTTGCCTACCCCTGATCTAGGCTTTTTCTCCAACATACTGATTTTTTTAGACTGAAATTATATTCTGAAACTAGAGTAGTTCATGCTTTTAATAATGCTTTTCCTTTAGAACAGACATGTCAAACTTGCGATGTCACGTGACATCGCGCAACGTATCAGGATGGTTTTGCCATTGCTGGCAGTGGGGTGGGCGCAGCGTCCGGCCCATGGGCCGGCAGTTTGACACCCCTGCTTTAGAAGAAAGTTATACCTGTATTATTCAGAACTTCGTTTGATGCTTTACATTATGTTAAATCAAGATTAATTACGTTGCTTTATAAAACAATGAATTGCACTTCCCCTTTCAAATCAGTGTGTGCAATCTTGGGATTCTTTTGGACTCATAATTCCTATACTTGGTCCCAATGATTTAACAGTGATGTCTCTTGTGACCTGGGAAGCGTGCCTTCTCTGTTGCATGGCTTGCCTTCTAAGTATGAGACCCCCTTCAGAGATTTCTGTGGTTCTCACTCTGATGATAATTCTGAAAGGTCTTGAAACCCTGGATGTGGGTAGAATGGATGTGGCTCCCTTATTAATACAGTGTCGTTTTTGATAGATATTGTCCAATTTATTAATGCTGTATCACATAATTTTTATAGTATTCATTTTAAGTTGTGAGCTGCCAAGAGTTTTGGAATTAGGCAACAGCTAAATATAGTAAAATAAGTAATTTTTTAAATATTTCACCAGTAATTATGCTTAGAGAAAGAAACATGTAGCCTTTGACCTAAATTCAGTCTTCTTGCAGTTGAGCATGGAAGAAGTGGGCGAATGTGGAAAAGGACTGTCAAAAAGAGAAATAGACCTTATAAGATGCCAGAGGTGAAAACAGATCATAAAGGAATATGCCATTCCTGGATTCCTGTTTTACATAGTAAACTAACTGGGAACTTCTGCAAACCTGGGAAACCACGTTTGGATATATACATGGGGGACTTTCAGATACTGGCTTGACTCATGGATCTATTTCCTAGATTAAGGAGACTCAGTTTGGGAGCATTTGCTGCATAAGACAATTGCAATGAATGGATTTGAGATCAGTGTTCCCTTTTTTAGATTGCATATGCCAGAATTGAAGGCGACATGATTGTCTGTGCTGCATACGCTCACGAGCTGCCAAAGTATGGTGTGAAAGTAGGCTTGACCAACTATGCTGCTGCTTATTGCACGGGCTTGCTGATGGCCCGCAGGGTATGTATCTCTTTGAAAGTTGTTATTCGTGCCTTCTTATCATATGGAAGATCTGCAGTCATTGATATTACAATATGGGAATGAATTACAAATTAATAACCAATAGGCACATAGCTTTTTTGTGTTAGTCCCTCAGGTTCAGTGAAAATAATGTGTTAAATTAGCAATTTTTATAAAAGGCATTAAATTATGGAGTTTAAGTTAAATAGCTACAGAGATTTAAGCTTGGGTGTTAAAGGGGATCTGTCTCTCCTTTTTTGTAGCACCATATAGATTTTTTCCAGTTTTATTCGGTGTTATTGCACCCCATAGTGTACAGAAAAGGTGGGGGAGCTTGTAACAGGTGTGCTTGGATTCTTTATTGGCCTTTCCCAAGTCAATTAGAACATTGTTCAGGTGAGCTGTTGAAGTAATGTTGTGCTGCCTTTTTCTGTTGGGAATTTTGTTGATAAAATAGGGATTTAATGTGTATGTTTTTGTGTTCTATATTTTAGAGCAGGGGTCCCCAACCTATGGGCTATAGCCCACCAGCGGGCTGCGGCCTCTTGGCCAGCGGGCCGCAGGAATGGCTGGCTGGTGCGCGCACACTCCCCACCACTCACGCTAGAGCCTGCAGCCCCGTTTGCACATGCACACGGGCGTGAATGGGGCTGCTAGCCCCGGGTAGGTGTGCATAGTCCATTTGCGCATGGGCGAACAGGGCCGCTAGCACCAGGTGGGTGTGTACATGGGCAAACAGGGCTTCTAGTGCCACGCATGCGTGGCGCTGTTTGCCTGTGTGCATGCGTACCAATTTGGAACCTGCTCTCTTTCCTCCAGGCCATGAGCCTGGAAAAGTTGGAGACCTCTGTTTTATAGCATTTTATTGTAATTTACATTTTGAACTTCCTGGAATCTTGATAGAGTGGTAATATATAAATATAATAAATTAAAAATCTGAAAAATGAGCAAAAATGACATGGCTTAATGAGAACCAACTCAAGGACATAATTATAGAGAAACCTTGTTTTAAAGGACTACTTGGGGAGAGTAGAATTATAATAGTATTCTGAACTGTTTGTTATGAAAGTACATCATCCTGGCAATGTAGATTATCTGTGATAAGTGTCATCATGATGCCTCTTTTACAAATGGCATGATTAGGTTATTATTCAAACGAGGTAAATCACTGAGGAAACATGATCCAGTGCTTTTGAAATCTGCTGTAGCAGAATCCAATAAATTGTTATAAATCAAGCTTTCATTGTTGCTCCTTAAAAAACATTGTATCTAATTTTTTTTTCAGCTTTACAGGGTGTGTTGATTTCATTCCTGTGGGGTGGCAAGCATTATTGCACATCACTGTATAAATGAAGCGTGAACTTTTTTGGCAAGGAAAACTTAACACATGCCGTTGTTTGCAGCTTTTGAATAAATTTGGTCTCGATAAGATCTATGAAGGCCAAGTTGAAGTGACTGGTGATGAATACAATGTGGAAAGTGTGGATGGACAGCCTGGTGCCTTTACTTGTTATCTGGATGCTGGTCTCGCTCGGACGACTACGGGGAACAAAGTCTTTGGTGCTCTGAAAGGAGCTGTGGATGGTGGTCTTTCCATTCCACACAGGTAACTTCTTTCCTTCTGAATTCAGTTCACCCTCAGGCAGCCATTAAGTTGTATGGCTCCCCCCCCCCTTTTTTTTTATAAGTTTGGAATATACTCATTTTCTTGAGGATAGAACTCTGGCTGAGGTCACTTAGTATTCTGTTGGGGGTTATAGTGTTTTTTTAATCTAAATATATATCCATTTTTTTTATCCACCTTTATTATCTTTATAAATAACTCAAGGTGGTGAACCTCCTCCTTCCTCCCCCCCCCCATCACAACAGCCCCATGAGGTGAGGTGAGCCAAGAAGGTTACTGGCTCAAAATCACTTGGTTGGCTTTCATGCCTAAAGTGGACTAGAATTCAGAATCTCCCAGTTTCTAATCTGTTGATTTGACCACAACACCAAACTGGCTGCCTGTTGCCATTGACAACACTTTATTCTCTATAGTGGAACCGGTACTTACAGTAGTGGCCAAAATTTTGGAAAAAGTGTACATTAGAAATGCCACCGTTGGTTAAGTTTCCACCAGTTTTTCTTCTAATTTCTTTATAACTGTAGCCTTGTTCACTTACTAATACTATTTTACATCGCTTTCTGGGCAACCAGTCAACTCTTTGCACCATTACTTTAATTTTATTAAATTTTAGAACAGTGTTTCTCAACCTTGACAATTTTAAGGCATGTGGACTTCAACTCCCAGAATTCCACAGCCAGCATTGCTGGCTGTGGAATTCTGGGAGTTGAAGTCCACATGCCTTAAAATTGTCAAGGTTGAGAAACACCGTTTTAGAAGCTCACTAAATGAAAGAACACAAAAAAACCCCAACCAATCTGATAGCGATCACATAATACACTGACAAATGTCCTCTCAGCTTCAATACAAGACATCAATAACTGAATCCTACTGTGATCTGATTGGCTCATTGCCAAAACAAGATGACACCTGATTGGCTCTCTAAACACTCATGCTCATTGGCTACAGTCAGATGAAGGAAAGCTACCTGATATCAACCTAAGCAAGTTGTGCTTTCTTTTTCTGGTTAATTGGCTATAACTTTTCATAGAATACAGTACAGATAATTGAACAAACTTTTTGCAATACATTCTTGATTAAATTATCTTTCCTTTGATACATAATTTTATGGTACTACAAAAAAAATGTTATTAGCCATCAAACCTCAAAAATACACTTTTCCCAAAAGGTTTCCACAATTTTGGCTGCTACTATATTTGCCGTATGCAATTCACCACTAAACTCTTACACAAACTGGATGCCCAAAAATCTGATTCTCTTTTCACTTTAGTAGGTTTTGTGAATGAAAAGATTAGTAAAATTAGGATCATTGTGGCGTTCTATAATCATCCCATCTTTTGTTTTGCTTTTAACTGGCTACTGTGTGATGATATCCCACTGACTGAACACTCTGTAGTTGGTCCTTGGTGTGTGTATGATTGATCTTGGTGTTTCAAGACGGGACTGATGGTGGCTGAAACTCTTGGATCTGACTCCCACTCCCCCAAAAAAACAGATTTTTGGAATCTCACAATGTATGCTCCACACCTTATACAGTTTGCTCCCAGAGTGTATAATGCTTAGCTCTTTGTTTCATAGTACCAAGCGTTTCCCTGGTTATGACTCAGAGAGCAAAGAATTCAATGCAGAAGTCCACCGCAAGCATATCATGGGCCAAAACGTTGCAGATTACATGCGATACCTGATGGAAGAAGACGAAGATGCTTATAAAAAACAGTTCTCTCAGTATATCAAGAACAATGTAACACCTGACATGGTAATACATCATAAAGTCCTTGAATTACTGCTTAGCAACAAACCATTTCATTGTAGTTAAGGAATTGCTAAAGCAAACTTGTAGGTCACCAAAATTTGGACCTGATGTCATTGCTGCATGGTTACATGCACTCTTGAGCATGGCTTGTTCAATAGGTATCTTGTCCATATATAACATTGACAAATGCACCTCATCAGTGTGGCTGCTTACCTGCTTGCTTGTTTGCAATGTGTGCAAGATTGTTGGCACATCTACTGCCTTGCTTTCTGCTGTTGGAAGGTTTCCCTCTATCTTTCCCTGAAGTACTCCAGTAGCTGTTGGCTTTTTGGCTTTTCTTACTGTTAATTCCCTCTTCCCTCAAAATAATTTTGCTGCCTAGAAAAATCACAGTTTGGTTTTTATCGGGCATAAAACAGCTCCATTTTTGGTCCCCGCATGGATAAAACGCGAATGTTTCGGTTCGGATATAGGCCACTTGAAACCAGTTGTGACGTGCATGAACCATTTTGCAGATCCTTCTTTAGTGTGCATTTGTGGTATAATTGATTTTGGGGTTGTAGATAGGGAAGGACTCCATATGACTTTATTGTAATGCTCCCTTCTCCTGTTTGGTTTCCCCCCCCCGAAGACTAATACGTACTAAATATGTAGTAAGTATGAATTAACGATTAAATATGTTGCCACAGATGGAAGAAATGTATAGAAAAGCGCATGCTGCAATACGTGAAAACCCTGCCCATGAAAAGAAACCTAAGAGAGAAGTTAAAAAGAAGAGGTAAGATGACCTTTTTTCCCCCTAAGAGGGGTTCCATAGGAAACATGTAATTGTATATTAGTGAAGGAATGTATAAACATTGAAATAATACACACACACTGTATATAGAAATATAAGGGAATATGGGAAAATTCTACTACTGTCTGGAAAGGGCTTATTGTGATTCCTCGCCAGCCTGTGGACCCGGCAGCCGAGTCTGAGGAATCAGAGGATGAGGAGGAGGGGCCTGGAGTGACATCAGAGGAAGGCTCTGAGGAGCTCCAAGACTTAAATCGGACAAGGAGCCTGGCCCCTCTACTCGCGCTCAGGCTGAGACACAGCTGTGCTGGGAGCCTGAGTTGGACAGTGATGAAGAACAGTTGGGATAAATCCCGGATGCATGAAGGCGCAGGCAAGAGAAGCCAGTAGGACAGAAGAATGCAATGGGGCATTAGGGAGGCATTAGGAAGCCACGCCTTGGCTGAATTATAAAAGGGAAGGTGTGGGAGTGCTGCTCATGTTTCTGTGAATTGTGTTTGTTTGCCTTGGACATTGACTCAGGTCTGTGAGAATAAAAGGGGTCGTGTGTTTTTTCTTGCGGTTTCTGCCTGCTTGTTGGAAGAGGGGTTTCTCCTGGTGAGCATAACAAGGACTCACATAGGCTGGGACAGAACAGTGCTGGACTAAAGGACAGCACTGATCCTGATCATAGTAGAACAAGCACTAAGCATTAGATCATAGAAGCGGGTCTACCACACTAGACAGGACGCAAGGTACAGACTGTGCAGAGAGACCATAGAGACAGTTCAACACATACTGGCAGGGTGTATAGATGGCAGGCAGGAACAGCATACATTCAACAGCACAACCAAGTAGCTGACATTGTGTACAGAATCACCTGTATAGAATATGAGCTAGACCCTCCTATGTTTAGATGGAGGATCCCGCAAGAGCTTGTATAGAGTAAGAAAGTTAGTTTATGGGACTTCCATAGACAGACAGACACGTACTGACCAGTCAACTGGACATTGCGATAGTAGACAACAACCAAAAGACAGTGGTGCCAAGTGACAGCGAGTTCAGGAAGAAGGATTATGAGAAGCTGGAGAAGTACCAGGAACCGAAGAAGGAACTAGAGAGGATGTGGCAAGTAAATGTCAAAAGTTGTCCCAGTGGTAATAAGAGCCCTGAGGGCTGTGACCCCCTAAACTGGGAGAGTGGATCCAACAGATCCCAGGAACGACCGAGGTCTCTCCAGAAGAGTGCAGTGTTAGGAAGAGCTAAGATCTTGCGCAGAACCCTCCCAACTCGCAGACCTCTGATAGAGGATCTGAGATGGAGGAAGATGTATAGAACCCGTGAGGGTGAGAAGGGTATTTATTCATTTGGGGGATGCTAAAACAGAATAATTTTTATTTTGTGTTAAGAGTTTAGTTTTTTTTCCCTAGCAGAATACAATTTTAATATGACGCTTAAACTCAGGTTCCTGTGTTTTAATGTGTTTTAATGTTGTAGCAAATAACTTCAGCTTGCTTGCTTATTTAGTATAGTATTCTGTTGAGTAGACCGCAGGAGCATGCCAAGTCCCTCCTGTTTTGCTTTTTTTGCACACCTTTCTATGTTGATGAACATTCATTCTTGGATTTAATAATTAGAGGTGTGCGCAGAACATGTTCAGTTTCAGGCAGGAAAAAACACTGTTGTCTTGAGAGTTCTGTGATGCATTTTGGCTGGGCAGTGGTTCTTCAGAACCAAAACCAGGAATACCCAGAGGGGTCTTATAGGAGTGAGTAGGAGAAGACTAGCACACCACTTTTCTTTTCATAGCATGTATATAGATAGTTCTCAAATTATGATCGGTCGCTAAGCCACTGCTGGAAGTTCCAGTAGACCTACCTAGGGCAGGGGTAAGCAACCTTGGCTCTTTTATGACTCGTGGACTTCAACTCCCAGAATTCCTGAGCCAGCCATGCTGGGAGTTGAAGTCCACGAGTCATAAAAGAGCCAAGGTTGCCTACCCCTGACTTAGGGGATACTGACAACCTGGATTCAAATTCCAATGTGCACGTACGTACACACACACACACACACACACACACACACACACACACACACACACACACAGTCAGGTGACCACATCTTGGCAACTGAGTCAAATTTATAGCTGTTGTGTCCTGCGATTGCATTATACAGGTTTTTTTTGTAAAATAACATTTCCGGTTTTCTCCAAAACCACGCCCATTGGTTCACGTAGTTACTGTGTTGTTCACTTGCCTGCAGTGATTCACTTACCAACCACTGCAAAAGTTGGAAAATCAGATCTGTCATGTACCAATTTGCATCGCAACTGTCGCAAGTTGTGTGATAGACTCCATTTTGGTTGTAACTTGCAGGCTACCTGTACTGGCTTGCCCACCAAAGTTTCCAGTATCTGCCTTTCGTTATCTCTTCTTGTGCTATGCTGGAAATTGATACAATCTAGCTGCCCTGTCTGACCCTTAATCTTTCTAGCCTCTTCATTTTCTTACCTCCCCTTGGCCATCAACTCCACCACATCCTTGGCTTTTTCTTACAGACATGGGCCACTAGAACTGGAACATTTTGCACATTCTATCATACAGTTATGTTTATAAGCTATGTGCAGCCTGCTTGCCTTGGAATTTCTGCTTTTGCTTGGAATATAAGAACAGACCCCTCAAAATAATGAGCAGTAGTCCAAATATGAACAATTTTTTTCCCCAACTACCATAAAGCACAACATATGCGGTGTGATTGCATTGTACTTACCGTATATGCCGGCGTATTGGGCGACCTGGCGTATAAGACGACCCCCGTCTTTATAGCTGGGTTGCATTCCTAGAACGTCGTCTTATACGCCGGAAACTACCAGTATTTCCGGCGTATAAGACGACTCGGCGTATAAGACGACCCCCCTCTTTGGCACCGATTTCAGCGCTTGCGGAAGTCGTCTTATACGCCGGCATTTACGATATTTTCAAAAGGAAAATAATTGTTCCATTACATAAGTATCACTATTCCAGTATCAAACCTCAGAACGTGAAGCAAATTTGTGTTAATTATCAGTCCTTTTGATCTAAAATTGTATAATTTTCTATTCTGTTTTGAAATGGATTATCAAAATAGCTCTCAAGCTTCTAGAATGTGCTTATTGGGATTAATTCTTATTAGTTCTAAGATCATTTAAAGTCCAGTATATTAATCTGTTTAACCTAAGAATACCGGTAGATAGAGAAGTTTTCACAGGTGGAGGCGTCCTTAAGCCGAACTCCTGTTCAGTGAACTATTAGATCAGCGGTTCTCAACCTATGGGTCGTGACCCCATTTGGGGTCGAACGACCATTTTACGAGGGTCACCAAACAACGCGATCCGCAATTTTTCCCTCTCGGGGTGCCGCCGCGCATGCGGGTCGCCGTCACACAAAGGTTGAGAACCGCTGTATTAGATGATAAAATGTGGCTTTGTTGATGAGAATGTTAAAAAGGATGTAATGAGCATAGACAACCATGTATGGATGGGCAAAGGTACAGGTCATCTTCAACTAGAAGAAGAGCTGGTTTGGATGCCTTTGTGCAATTACATGGGTAATTATTCTCCGGTAGTGTACTATCTGACCATTAATGCTAAAGATGCTTATGGTGTCAGTTCTTTTCTTTTTTAAAAATTCATTTATGTCGGATAGGTTCTCTACATTAGCAAGAATAATCATACCCCAAAATCTTTTTGCAGGTGGAACCGTCCTAAATTGTCTCTTGCTCAGAAGAAAGATCGTGTGGCTCAAAAGAAAGCTAGCTTCCTTCGGGCCCAGGAACGTGTGGCTGATAGTTAGGATGCCTTCCATAATTTTCTGTGAAGATTTTGGAATACAAAATAAACTTATTGAATCAATGTTGTAAGTGTTGACTTGCTGAGACGGAATTCTAGCTGCATTTGAAATAATTGATCAGCTGGTTTCTTGGCTCTCCCTTTTTATACTTGTAGAAGAAGATCAGTCTAGTTTCACTGTAGGAAACCCCTCAATATCCCACTTTTCCTTTGGGGGCTGAAGGCATAGCACTCCCTTCAGTGTTTTCCTCTCAACACCAGTATTATGAGATATGCTGGGCTTATAGAATATGATTGGCCCCAAGTTGCCCACGAAGCTTTCATGGATGGAATTGATCTTGAGCCTGGGTGGTCTTATTAATTCAACATCTCAACTACTATGCCTCACTGGTGCCGACATGCTGTTAAATCTTCAAACTATTTAAAAAAAATCCATCAGGTAAGTGATAAACATCTGGATTTATGGTCTCCTTATCAGGGACATCTGAAAGCAGACTTTCTAATTGTGCTCTCTAGATTTACTAGAGATACAGCTTACAGAATTCCCAGGCACTATATAGCCAGTGACTAGTGATTAATGAAACTCATTTAATGAAATCCCAGAAATACTTTTTTCCTTTTGGAATATATTGATCTCACTTTTGGAATTTCATCTGGAAATTTTCCAAACATAATTTTTCTGGAAGAAGAATGGATTCTGGTATTGTGGAAAGAAGCAGTACAACTTTTCTGTTCAGCATCTGTTCAGGCTGTACTAAGTTATGCTTAAGTTAACTGATTTCTGCCTTAGTTGAGTTCTGGATCATTCTGAGAACTATATAGATAAATACAACTTCCCTTCAGATCTCAAGCTTATATGCGTATTGAATAGAGACTTAGGATTATCTTCCATTTGAGCTTTTCACATGTTCAGGTGAAATGGGACCTGCATCCTAATGTTTTCACTGTTCTTGACCCACATCCTCTATTTAATAGAACTGATGATAAAGCCAATACCGGGTGGGTCTAAATTTGGACTAATCAGGAAAATCTGACTTTAAATTCCTTTTCCACTTGAAATCACGAACTCAAGGATAACTTATTTTTTCTCAAAGCATTAATCTTCACTTCAAGATTTTTTTTTTTTTCATAAGAATAAAGTTTGGGATACAAGACTTCTTTGTTCTTTCTACTATTTGCATAATTGAGATATCCATGAGAACAGTCATGACTCTTAGCAGTTACATTTCAGAATGGGTTACGTCAGTGTTTCTCAACCTTGACAATTTTAAGGCATGTGGAATTCTGGGAGTTGAAGTCCACATGCCTTAAAATTGTCAAGGTTGAGAAACACTGAGTTACGTGTTTCCATTTGCCTTCCTTTCGGCAGTCCCTGGTTTTCAAGTCTGAGCCTCCTGAGTAGCTTTGTCCTGTCCAAGAACTTACTTCCCCATGTGTGTTGCAGTGTACAAACTCCTTCAGTAAGAACACAAGCTTTGGGGGGAAACTTCCTACCTGTATGTAATCGCTATCTCTAATAAGCCAAAATTATAGCTTCAAAAGAGCCAGAAACAAATCTCTAATCATGGGCTTAATAGATGGAAGAATTTGTAGAGCTAAAGTATAATCTACTCCAATCATCTGTTTCTTCCTGATAGAAGTGATTTCATGCAGCATGTTTTGTAGTTAGCCATTAATCTCACTTGGCCTCAAGTAGCATCACCAAGCTGGCCTTGGTCATTGGTCTTGAAAGGCTAAGAAATCTCATGGTATTGAGTATAAATTTTAGACCACCACGATGCCAATTTGGCAAGTTAAACACTGGAAGTCGGCAAGGAGAAAGCCCACTTCTGCACTATTGCCAAGAAAATTATATGAATATGTCAAGATAATCTGGAGTCACACTCAGATGCTCTGGAATGATGTTACACCTAGAATAGTACTGTTATTGAGGGTTATGTTTTGCTTTTTGCTATCATTTTAAATACGTGATTCAGAGATTCCCAATATCTGTCCTGTGAGATAAACTACAAACTTGGAATCAACCTCCTCATGGGGGGCTGATGCATACAGAGGTCTATCATCTCCCCAAAGAGCTTTTGCTCCATAACTGGAAACTCCAGAAATCTGTGGGGACATCCAGGTATTGAAAGATAGTTTAAAGAATCTGATTTTTGTAGAAAGCCTTAACAAGGAATTTATATTGCATTAAATTTCTGTTGTGATAAATCTTGAGTTTCTTTTATTTTTATAGCAATTGAGGAACTCTTTTTTAATAGCCTTGATCATGCTTCAGGCTTGTTTCCTTTTAATATCTCGTGATGTTGTAAATTAGAGTGCCAGTCTATTGGGATTTTGGGTGAAAGAACCCATTTGTAGCAGTTGCAGTTAGGTGTTTTCTTTTTTAAATGAGCAGCTGCTTCTGTAACAGCTCTGCGTTTCCTTTTTTTAATCACTATTTCCATGCTAGTATTTAAACTAATATTGATTTTTCTTTTAGTAAAGATTGCTTTTACATAATTCTTGTGAAATAAGACAGTATTTCAAAAGATTGGATATGGGAGGGGAGGGTTGAATCATTCTTGTTATACAGTTTAACCCAAAATGGTCAGGCAGATACGATGGTAGAGAGTAAGGAAATCATCTTGATGGAAATATGACAACCTGTTACCTAGCTAGGGGAAAGGGACTGAAATGTTAAATCTAGAAAGAGATAACATTCAAAAGCGGATCAGGCTGACTCCATCTAATTCACTGAAGTATAAGAAAGATGATGTATATAGCACAATCAGACTCGCAAGACCAATACCAGCTCCCTAAGGCCAGACCCAGCATACTAAAAAGCAGAGACATCACCCTGCCAACAAAAGTGCGTATAGTCCAGGCCATGGTTTTCCCAGTTGCAATGTATGGCTGTGAAAGTTGGACCATAAGAAAGGCTGAGTGCAAAAGAATTGAGGCCTTTGAACTATGGTGCTGGAGAAGACTCCTGCGAGTCCCTTGGACTGTAAGGCGTTCAAACCGGTCAGTCCTAGAAGAGATCAACCCCGACTGCTCTTTAGAAGGCCAGATCCTGACGTTGAAACTCAAATACTTTGGCCACCTAATGAGAAGGAAGGACTCACTGGAGAAGGGCCTAATGCTGGGAAAGATTGAGGGCAATAGAAGAAGGGGACGACAGAGAATGAGATGGCTGGATGGAGTCACTGAAGCAGTAAGTGAGAACTTAAATGGACTCCAGAAGATGGTAGAGGACAGGAAGACCTGGAGGAACGTTGTCCATGGGGTCGCGATGGGTCGGACACGACTTCCCAATTAACAACAACAAGGCCAGACCATGAAATCATCTCTACACAAAGGATAAAACTACTTTTATTGATACTGCCTATAATAGTCGGTCCCTGGTTCTTTAGACTAGCGCAGGGGTAGGCAACCTTGGCTCTTTTATGACTCGTGGACTTCAGCTCCCAGAATTCCTGAGCCACGAGTCATAAAAGAGCCAAGGTTGCCTACCCCTGGACTAGCGGATCCCAACCTTTTCTATTCCCCGCATTCCCTAGAATGCTGATATATTCTTGCACCCCTTACAAAAGTTCGAAATAACGGCAACGTATTATGCGTATACACTATAATTTTGAAAACAAAGTTTTCTCACCCCCCTGGAATATCGTCTTGCACCCCCAGGGAGTGCGAGCATTCCTGGTTGGGAACCCCTGGACTAGTGGTTGTCTACTTAGGCCGTATGGTTTCCTGGAGATGGGGACACCCAAACTTAATTGCCAAACCTTTGATCAAATTGATGAAATCCTCAATCTCATTATTTCAACAGCATGCTTACTAAAAAGTTAACTAATAATATATTAATTAAAAGAGCAGAATGTTATATTCCAGCCAACAGCAATTACAGCAGCACTTAAAATTTTTGAAACATTTTACATTTATCATATTTCTGCATAAATGTGACCTAAGTTGTGAAGTTTTCCACACAAGTCCTAAAGCTAAAAAACCCATTTAAACAACTAAGTCTAAAGCAGTGGTTCTCAACCTTTTTAATGCCGCGACCCCCCAACTGGTCATAAGTCGAGGACTACTCAACTGGTGCAGCACCGTTTGCAGAATGGGACTTTTGGCAGGCTCAGCAGGGCAGAGACAGCCTGGACACTTCCTATTGGCTTTTGAAAGCCAATAGAATTAGACTCTATTCAAGAGAGTCTATTCTATTGGCTTTCAAAAGCCAATAGAATAAAAGGGAGTAGCACAGCTAAGGAAAAGGGGAAAAAAATGGCGGACTGCATTGTTTAGCAACCCCTGTGAAATGGTCATTCGACCCCAAATGGGGTCCCGACCCACAGGTTGAGAACCACTGGTCTAAAGCATACATGTTCATTTATTCATTGAGGAAAGTGATCCAAGTTTATATATGTGTATGGTTTGTGTATGTGAAAGTCTGGAATTATCTGTTCATTTGAAGGAGAAATAAGAGGTATTCCAATGAAAAGGATAATAATCTATTATTTGAGTGTGGGATGTCCTGCCTTATTTAAAGGACTGAATTCTGGGTATTCACTATCAAAGACTGATCTTCACAACACAGGTATGAGGAAGTGGGTAATAGTTTGAAAAAGGAGATTTCTGACTTTAAAAATGGTTGTTGATGCTCACCAGGCTGGAAGAGTTAACAAAACGACTTCCGAAGAGTTAGGCTCCACCAGTGCACTGTCAGGCAGATCATGTACAAATGGAAGCAATTCAACACCACTGTTACCCTTCCCAGGAGTGATTGATCAACTAAGATCATACCAAGGGTAAGGCATGTAATATTGGAGGTCTCAAGGAACCTCAAGATAACATCTAAGGAATTGAAGGCCTTTCTTGCATTGTTAGATGTCGATATTCATGAGACCGTCATCAGAAGAACACCGAACATGGGTGTGCATGGCAGAATTGCAAGGAGAAAGTGACTACTTTCCAAAAAGAACATTGCTGTCCATGTACAAAGACCATGTGGATAGGCCAAAAAATAATTGGAAAAATGTTCTGTGGCCAGATAAGACCGAAATAGATTTTTTTTTACTTGAACGACAAGTGTTAGGTTTGGGAAAGGCAAACTCAGCATAAGAACCTTATACCATCCGTGAAACATGATGGTAACAGTATAACGGACCAGGATGGTTTGTCATTGATAAAACATTGATAGAACTATGAATTCTGAACTGTACCAGCAAATTTTACAGGAAAATATCAGGATATCTGTCAATGAACTTTGGGCTCCAGAGAAAGTGGGACTTACACCATAACATAACAACACCACCATAACAACAATCAGTGCCATATAATCAAAGAGTGGTTAAAGCAGAAGAAAATGTTTTGGAATGGGCCATCAAAGTCCTTACCTTAATCCTATAGAAATGTTGTAGGAAGCAGGGAATTCATGTAAGGAAGCCCACAAACAACCCTGAATTAAAGCTGTTCCATAAGAGGAATTGGTTAAAATTCCTCCAAGCCAATGTTCAGGACAACAGTTATCTGAAATATTTAGTTGCACTTATAGGGTGCACACCAGTTACTGAAAGCAAAAGTTCACATAACTTTTGCCACACAGATTTGGATCATTTCCATTAAATACGTGAACTATAATGTTTTTGACTCAATTGTTTAATAGGGTTCTCTTCACCTAGTTTATGGGCTTGTGTGAAGAACATATCACATTTTAGGTCATATTTATGCAGAAATATAGAGTTTTACCCTGGGATCTTACGGGAATCCCTAAATTGAAACTAAATAGAAATGACCAATTGTGTAATGATGAAACACCTTCACGGATCTCTTCCATCACTACATGAACTCTTTAATCTCAAGAGGAAAGCAGAAGCACCCTATATCTCATTTCATTAACTTCTGTTGCATTCTATTGACTTTTATATAAAAATGATTAAATGCAACTATACCCCAACATGTTTCACTAGGGGACAGTAAAGGACTATCTGCTGAAACAGAGAATCAAACAAACTTGTCATCTCAAGGGATTTAATCCAGATTCGGGTTTCCTATTCCTTAATTATTCCTGCTTTGCAGCAATCAGCCTTTAATAAAATGAATCCAATTCAGTCATAAGTATCAATTTTTGTTGGAAGAATATGAAAACTATAAGCAGAAATCAGGGTTTTGGGCTTATTTCAACAACTCTGTCCACTAAAATTGTTGTATTGATTTGTTTCTTGTATTTGGAGAGGATAAGGCACACATTATACAGACTCAACTATGTAATCAAATTGAACCTTGTTCAAATTTACCCAGAATCAATGAGCTCTTGCTATCGCCAACATTTTATGCTAATAATTTACCAGAAATGCAGTGTTTCTACCCAACACGTATAACTACCAGAAAGGGGAAATAGTTCCAGTTTATTGTAAACAGTTCATATTTAAAATAAAAACATGAAAGTGGTATAACAGCAATCAAAATGAAATACAGTACAAACTGCATTGGTAACAAGTCCCATTATTCCAAACTTTCAAATATATTTTTCCACTGAGCAATGACTGTTAAATATTGACATTCAGACTTACTCACCATGGATTTGCTTATTAAGATTTAAGAATGTTTATTGGTACCACTAATAAATGCGGTCTCTGTCAATTTAAAAACAAAGTGGACATTGTGCAAGAAAACTGCTGGTAAAAATATTTATACAAGGCAAAAACGTACAAGACCCTAAAGCAAATAATGTCACACATTATACAGGGAACAACAGTTCTTTTGCCTTTATAAGTGCATGTTTGATAGGTTAAAAAAAGAATATTCTGTTGATTTCAAAAAGTGAAATTGTAAATAACTTTTGTAATTTTCTTATTTTATAAAACAAACTGAATCAAGTCAAGAGCTAAAGGTGTATTAGTGTCAAGAGGAACATGCACAAGTGTTTCACAAGAGGTCTGCTAAACAACTATGTTGAACAATGTAGTTTAACTAACTAGGTGCTAAATAAGATCCCAAAGATTATCTATGTGTGATCAAAGTTGCCATTTCTTTCTAGATCTTGGGACTATGGCCTGTAGTTCTGAGAAACACACACAACAGAAACGAAAGTACTACATATTTAAAAAAAAAAAAAACAAGTCCAAGAAGGGTGGTGGTGAACACATGTATCGTAACACTGTTATATTTCATTTTGTTGTTTTGTAAGAAATGCCAAAACCAATATTCATTAGCTTAAGACAAATGCCAATTTAGAAATTAGCTCATCACATAGCCTGAAAACAAACCTATACATTCTTACAAAATCAGCTTGAATGTAATATTTTAGTTTCCAAAGTGCATATGGTGAAATCACAAGAATTTGATGGTTGAAGGAACAAATATGATTACCTCCCAATAGGAATCTTTCACCTTACAACTACAATACTGAAATTACTTCAGAACAGTCATACATAGAATTTAACTGTTGGATAGGCTTTCTTTTGGTGAAATTGTCTGCTATGATTTAAATACTTTGCTGATAAAAAACTAGGACTCAATCATTTGATTGCATTTGGTTTGGACAAACTAAAGCTTAAGGATCTCTTTGACTTCTTACTTTCAAATATATAATGCTTAATAGTATTTAATAAATCTGTTCATATAATCCAACTGATTGCTGTAGTTTATTGAAGCTTATATTTCATATTGCTGTAGTGTGTGTGTGTGTGTGTGTGTGTGTGAATGATTGTGTATGCAATTTATAAATCCTTAAATGGTAGAATGGTACAACAGCTATTTTTAACTAGGAGATATAGCAAACTTACTAACATTCAATGTATGTATGAGGTAAATGTGTATACAAATGTAAAAACCTAACAAAAAGTTCTGGTTCGAAAAACTTCCATTTTAAAATATTTTCAATTGTCACATTAATTTTCTCTAAAAATTACTAATGTGCAAATTCTGCCATGCTTAAAATTAATAGATAATCCCCAAAATATTATTTTTAAAAGGTAATCTAATAGTGATGGGTTCTTCAGATTAATGATTGTAAAGAAACTTCAGAATTTTAAAAATCATATCAGATATTTTTAAAAGCACCACAATACATTTTCGTAGCTTTTTGAGGGGAAGCAAGAACACAAAGGATATAGTAAGTCAAAAGAACATAAGGAATCTTCTTATCACATCTGCAAGATGGTAGCTTTGGAACAAGAGCAGTTCCCTAGATGCAATCAGTCCCTCATCTGCTTGGACTAAATGATATAACAATTTAGGGACAAAGCTCTTCCCCTTGCACACATTTAGTTCAAATGAGAAGCCTGTTCGAGTCACCAGGATTTTTTTCATAAAATAGCCAGCATTTACAAAAATGGCAGCGAAGAGTGCTTTAAAACAATAACCCACACAGCCAACTTCACCCATCCTGCTCCATTCCTTCTAACTTTTCTCTTTGCTAAAGATTCAGGGCAAACAAAGCACAGGGAACAGTACTTTCCCAGGGGGCAGATTGATACGTGGGACGTTATCAAGTGGAGCTTTTAATTAATACATTTATTCAAAGGAGTTATATGGCTGCCCATCCTATGTACAATACTCCTGGACAACTCAGAAAACCAGGAAGTAAAAATGTAAAAAGGAGCAATAAAACCACTCTCAAAAAACAGTTCCTGGAGCCCTCAAACACAGACTCCTCCATACATCGCCATTTGCAGTTGTAGGACTCTAGCCATCCCCTGAACCAACCCCAGCTCTTCAAGGTGTTCCGGAAAGCTAGAAGGAAGGGTGGAGGGTCTTCCACTGCCAGATGAAGCAGCTTGGCTAACTGGAACTGCCTCATGATGCAGAAGTTCTGGGGTGTCTCTCTTTAGCTATTATTTAGAAATGGAAATGTGATTGGTATTTTATATTGTTCTATTTCAAGAATTCCCAGTTTTTAATAACTAATATGTCACGGAAAAGGGCAGGCTAGATTTCAAATGCTAGATTTTTTTTTTACTTTTAGGAAGTTGTTCAGCTGAATACATGTATGTTTATAAATTCTACAGAACGCATTTCCTGGGATTATACCAAATGCTTTCTCCATACGTATAAATTTGGCTTTTAGTAAGTTTCTAAAGAAACAAAATGAATACTAACAACAGAAGGCTCTTATGAAATCTCTGAAGCCAATGAAGGGTAAAAGGGTAACGGAATTAGTATTCTTTCCAGCCAGGAGTGTTGTAGCCATATGGCTTCAGTAGTCTGATAGGCATACCTTTTAAGTACACATATAACTCTTCAATTGGGGAAAAACATATCTGAAAGAGAACTGATAAAAGATGAGGACAACTAATGTTTCAAAAACTATAAACTTATGTTTCACAAAAAGTGGTCAGCTCCTACAGCAGCAACTGTTTCTTCTTCTGAGACAAAGCACCTAAGAATCATCTGTATGAGATATTTTCTTCCACAATAGAGTTTTCAAGTTATTGAGTATTAAGGAATGTTCCATTTCCATCTGATTGGCTGAAACTTTCAGGGCAATGCAAGAGTACAGTTGTTTCTCTAATTCTTCATGTATTTCTAAAGGAGCCCCGAGAAGCAGATAGTCTTTAAGCAAATGGCACACCTTTGCTAAATTTGGCTGAATTATTTCTGTAGTACATTTCATTTTACTTTGGTCACATACAGTTCTACAGTCTGAGCCATATACACAATCCAGGTCAGACTCACAGTGACGATCTTTAATAAGTTCTTTTAAATTCATTTCTGGCACTATTTTTCTCATATCCAACATTTTTAAGTCGTATTTATCATTATAACCCAGGTTTTTGGCACTCATGTCACACATAAGAAAATTCCCATATGGTCCATGGAAAATGTCTTCCACAAATTCTAGGAGCCCAATAGCTATTTTTGCCTTTCTGGGCCATGACGGAGTAAACCACTGATCCATGCTCCTTCTGAAACCAAAAGGAATGAAGAGTTCTAAGATCCACGGAAGGCTTATTCCAAAAAGAGAGGTATATTCAACTTTTTCCATCACATAAAGATCTCCACAAAACCCCAATAATTTGGGAGTGTGTTCTTTATTCTGGAGAATTACCATCAGTAGGAATTCATTTAACTGGAGAAGTGCCCATGCTGACTTTGCTTCTGGCAAGGAAACACGACCATCTTTGTTCCCATCAGCCACAGTCAAGATGAGATTAACCAGTTCAGGAAGATTTCCTTGCTCTCCCAGTTTTGCCTAGAAAGAAGTCACATATATACGTTGAAACATCATTGCACTCAGTTCTTATTTTTAATTAACTGTTGCTTATTATCAGATGAATTTTCAAAGAATTTAACAAAAAAATAAGTATCCCAGCAGTGAGATAACCTTAAGCTATTCAGCAGGTTCACATTTACTAATATTGAAATTTACTACAGAGGTGAGAACAAATAAATGTGTTTAAAGGTAGCTGTTTTACAAAATACCAATCATGTAACCATTGAACAAAGCAAGAGTGAGTATCTCCATCCTAAAGGTAAGAAGACACCGTGACTGAAAAATTCCATTCCAGCACCAAGCATTCACCTTTTATCCTCTGCACTTTCTCTCCTTATAGTAGAGTTAGCTATACCAAATATAATCGCATCACCAGATTTCCTGCAGACCCATCTGGTTTTGTCTAACCCGTTTGTGGGCAGCTTTGACCTGTTTGGTCTCTATCTTTGGTAATTTTGTGGTGTTATTTCGTTCAAAGACCTATAGGAGCAAAGGTTGTTATCCATCAACATTAACACAATTTTCTTCTGCATTAATTCAGGTTAATTTCCTAAAATGATCAATAATTTTATAAATTATTCTCATAATTTGATAATATTAATTTCAGTTGGGCTTCTTTTATTTTATATTTGTGTGTCTGTTTTCCAATAAGCTATTTAAAAGGGAAAATAGATTAAATATGCCATGACGATGTTACCTAGTTTGGTAATGAAACATCTGCAAGAAAATAACCAAGCTCAGAGAGCACCAAGGACCTCACAGATTAAAAATGAATTACCAATGCAATTTCTAATATCTGTACTTAATCCAAGACCAAGCTATATTTTAACAGTTGTCATAAGAGTGTTTAAACACTACACATGCAGCCTTGAAAAGAATAAGAACAGTAACAGAAAGACTGTTAACTAAATTGTAATGGAAGTTTCTTATTTCTAATATAGGAGAGCCAACTTATAGCAAGATCATAATGGGGAGGGAAAACTTAGAAAGTTCGTTTCATGCAATCCTTATAAAACTTTCCAACATAAAGTCTTAATTTTAATCTACTGAAGCAATTAAATAATCTGTCTAGTATCATTACTTTCAGCTCAGTCATCATCACTCCAAGCAATGGAGAAATAATATACTTACTTTAAAAAGCCCATAGACCATCTCTTTGAATTTCTGAACAGTTGTTCCTCTAGTCGGTTTATCAAACAGAATTGTTTCCTTCCTTGGTTCTAGTTCAGTTCTGAGATCAATATGAGCAATTTCTTCCATCTGGCATTTTATAACTCCTTGCAAATTGCCCCATTCTCCTAAATACATCTGTACAAAATCGAATAAACTAAGCATATAGATGGAAATTATCTTTTACACAAGTAATTGGTGCTCAGTATTTCACCGACTAAATTTTTGGCTTAAATGATTATTTTCAATAAGATGACCTTATTTTCTGGATAACAAATTTTAAAATGTATATGCTATTTATACAAACATAGTATTTATAAAAGAACTGTAGCTGACAAGTGCTAACCTAGAAACAGCATTTCCACTTCTGCTAAATTAGTACTTATATGCTGTGTTTATATAAAAATGACACTTATGCTGTCTCTAAAAGTACTAAATTTAAGTGATTTCAAAATATCAGATGAGCAGTTGTCGTTGATTTCTTCATTCTTCTCCCTTGAAAATAAGACATTGAAATAAGGCAACCCCAAAACAGTGACATAAACAGGTGAAATGGGAGTTTAAAGTTCATAGCATTATTTAAATTACTTTATACAGAAATGTTTTAATGCATTTCAGTATAATGAGACTAGCTTCTTCACTCAGCTTTTACAGAGATGGAAATAAAGGACTACTGGTCAAATATAATCTCTGCAAAATGGTTGCATAGTGATACCTGTACTCCTAGAACATTAATTTTAGCAGTTGTGATCAATCACTTTTACCAGTATATATACTTTTTTATATGGTATGTAACATGGAGGAGCAAAATGCATTTGATAAATAATATTCTGTAATTTTTAGTAAATCATGGCCGATAAGCATTTAAAATTCATACATTATTGTACATTTTGACATGTACTTTAAAATCACTACTGAATATACATACATTTCACACCCATTTGATTTATGACTCTAATTAATAACCACAAAATTAGACATTTCTTGAATGCAATGTTAGTAATAAAACACTGCTATAAATTATTTTATAGTAACAGGTTTTAAATGAAAATCTAGATGCTGTTCCAGCTTAAAATTAGATGTGACTAAACAGTAAGACTTGTTTTTAAAAATCCACAACTACTGTAGCTGAAACTGAGTCCTAACATTCCTTCCTGTTTAGCAATTTCCCCTAAAGACTCCTTTTATCAAGTCCCTTAACAGATGATGTTGCAAGCCTCAAAATGCTATGATGGATGCAAGCTTTAATATAGTGTGGTAAGTTTTACAGATTGGGGAGCTACATGTTACATTAAGTCTTGTGTGTAGGAGACATGGACAAGATTAATTTGTCATAACATCACTAGCTATGATTGATATTTTCAACCTTTTAAAAATACTTTGGGTAGTGGGATTTCAATGATGAAATGGATGACTTAACCCTCTGCATTCTGCTTAAAATATTTGCTCTTAACCCTTCCTTATAACTTCCCTCAGTTCTTGGTTAAGAGGCACTCCTGTTCTGTGCTGTTACTAGCGTTGAATACAGGTAGTTCTTAAGTCTATTAATTGAGACATGAATTACACTTGTTAAGTTGTGCCAGTTGTTAAGCAACCATGCCTAAATTGATAACCTTTTTTGTGGAAGTCACTAAGTCAATCACCACAGTCATTAAGTGAATGCTGCAATTGTTAAGTGAATCCATTAGTCACAATGAGTATTTTTTTTGCTGGAAAACAGAAGTAAATACCACTTTCTAACAAAAAAAAACCCATTGTAAATCCTGGTCATGTGACTGTGCAATGCTGCAAACGGATATAAATGCCAGCCGGGTACCAAGTGACCCAAATAGGATCACACGATCATGGGATGAAGGGGCAGCCCTACTTCAAATTTGGGCTGTAAGTAGCCCTGGGGAGATCTGCTGCAACTTTGTATGGTCGTTAAGCAACCCGTTGTAAGTTGACAACTATCTGTAGGTGTTTTGTCAAATTGTTGGATGTTCTGGCATTTCCTTTTTGTCATAGTCCAGAACCCTTCTATTCTTGCAGTGTGAAAGGAGAAAGAGAATTATATAGCTTGGGAAAAAGAAAATCTGGGGGGAAATGAGAAGGGGAAACAATAGCATGGTGGGATATTCTTAAACATAATGCCTAATATTCTCCTCCATATTATAAAATACTTAAGTCAATTCTTTATCATAAAATGATACCAGCAATATTGTATGGATTCTGTAAATAACTAAGCAAAATCAGTGTTGGTTTTGGTTTTTTAAACAGTTCTGTTTTCTATGATATTTACAAACTAAGATACCTTAGAAAAACTAGAATGTCTAGGTTTGCAGCAATCACTATATTTAGATGGATCCAATTTTAGAGGTCAAACAACCAACTGAAGTCCTTATTAGGAGACATTAATCACTGCTATCTGTAGTTTTTTTATCTTTAATACATGAAGTCCATTTTCATCTATCTTCAACTGAAACTTATTTAAGATAAGGTTACAGAATATTATTTATCATTTCATGCTTGTTTTCTGAAATAAAAATTAAATCAGAGTACTCATACCTGATTGTTGGGTTGGGTTGACAAACATTTTCTGAAATAAAGTGTTTGTCTTGTACACAGGCTACTACATGCTGATCCATCAATAACCCCACTCTTGTATTTATCACACTGGAAAAATGAAACCAAAAAACCCCCATGTGAGAATTGCTATATTTTTCACTATCAGCAAACTCATTGATTTTTATAATATATCTTCTTAAATGTAGATCTCTCGGTCAATGTTCCCTGATTCTCTACTATATTTCTACACATAATTCCTAAACAACATATAGCTATTTTTTCCCCTCTCCAATGAACTGGGATTTAATAATTTTAATAAGCTACATCATGTATTTTTTTCTAATACCATTTCTCATGATAAAACAAAAACCAAGAACATAAACTACCACTACACCTTATTAGACAAATGCAACAGCAAAGATAGTTAATTCTTTCATAACATTTCTCTCATATTTAATTTATAAGCAAATACTAAAAGTGAAAGAGCCAGTCAGGAGTACCAATAAACCTAATTTTTTAAAAAATATACTTACTATTATTTTCTTGCAGTCATGCCCTCTGCAAAGTTCTGTGTAAGATGAGTACTGAACATAAATAATCCAGCTGCCAATAAATACTCCTAGCCAAGAGAGGAAGAGATATTTCATCCGCATATAAGAGAAGCGAACCTTGAGACAGAGAGAGACAAGTGGAAAGGGAAGAGTTCCAGTCATATTTATGATATTTAAGAAAATCTTAGTTCCCCTGTGCTAGGAATGAAGTATATAACAATAAAAAAGACTTCTGTTTTTCTCTCTCTCCTTTACGATTTTAAAGAGGCAAATAAAATCTAGGGAACTAGACCATCTTCTTTCATTCCATGACTGGCACATAAGCTCTCATTCATCCCACCTGAAATTAACCAATCAATACACACGTGCATGTATGAATTACATACCTGAGCTTTATTTCATTCTGGTACTAACCCAACAAGCCGATCTACCCTAGAATACACCAGTGATCCCACAGCAAACGCTTTCATTCCCAGATCTAGCTTATATGTATGTCTTGACTTCCTTTTTTTGAAATCCCAGGTAGAATAGCATCATAGAACTCCTCTCCTGCTTCTGTCATAGGCTTCACTGTCCACTCAGCTGACCCCAGAGCATTTTTTTTTCATCTCTCAATTAATCCTTCTTGCCATTTACCTGACCCCTTCTTTCTATAACAATAACGGACCGAAAATGTGAAATAGAAGAAAGGACCAAGTTCAACACAAAAGTCCTCTTCTGCTATGAGTAATGTTCAGTATGTTGGACTGCTTCTCCCACTTTTTCCTAATTTGGGAATGTCCAAACTTCTTCATAATATTGCTCTTTTCTACAACATAATTTGGACGTTATTAGACTTGGACTGGTGACTCTCCATATTTTGCTAAAGAATAGCTTATAGTAGACTTAGTCTGCACGGCCAATGTTAAATAATGCTTGTAGTTAAAAATTCAAACACTACCCCATTTTTTGTATATACTTAAATTAGGGATAGTTGGACTATATGCAGATTTGGGGGAGAATGATGCAGTTAGCGTATCCTATTATTTATGCTTTTGCCTGGGAAATCTAGTGCAGCATGGCAACTAAGCATATATTTTATTTAACTGTACACACAGAGATACACACAGACACACAGGAGTCAGGATACTGACTGCAGTTCAAGAGTTCAGATATTATTATCTACTGTAACCTTCCTGGAGTCTTCTACCACTGTTTATACATGTTTTCCTTCCCCAAAGAAGACATGTTCTCACTGCCTTTGAAATGATTACAGCAGATGCAGACCACCTGGAAGTATGAGTTATGGGGACCTCAGTTTGCACAATACAATCCTTTGGCTTCATACAGTTACAATTTTCTGCAGGATGCTGCATAATTCCTGTAGCAAGTAAAACAAATAGTCTTGGTCTGACTAATAAAAAAAAAGGAAGACTTGCTTAGAAAGAGAAGAGATTAAAATTTAAGTGAGCTAACCTGTGGCTCTTTTATTTTGAAATCTACCAGGAAGGCAACTAGGAATCTTGCAGAAAAGCAAACTTCATGCTGTTTTCTGACTCATTCTTTTGGAATCAGTGTTTCAGGATAAAAAACATCCAACTAAACAAGACAATGGCAGTTCAGTGACAAAACTTGTTTATTCCTCATTAAAGGAATCTATCCATAGCTCTCAAAGTATAGCATGTTTATTGGTAAATCATGGAGTTACTGTATCTGTTTTCATTAGAAGAAAAAAATACCAGAAATTTAAAAAAGGGGGGAAAAGATAGTGGTTTTATTCACTGCCTGGCAACTACTTAACATTAGATCTTAACATCAGAATAAAGTTTCAACTGTCTCACAAAAAAAAACAAAAAAAGTAGAATTGTTGGCAGGTCCAAATTTTGGAGCAAAAGTAACATTAAAAATAACAAACCAAATAATCTTACTTTAAAAAAAAAGACTAGTTTTCAGTCAGGAGCTGTTAAGACAAAGTTTGAAAGGGCAGGCAAAAGCTAGGAGTTTATTAATTGCTCTAAATGTTAATTGCTCAATAAAATACAATGTTATTGTCTGAACATTTGACTGATGGGCAACTTGAATTGTTCATACAGAGAAAAAAGGATTTATCATTACGTAAAAAAGAGTTCCTTTTAATTTTAAAATTTCATTATAAACTACAAAAAGTGATATTAGTTCCATAAAATAGTAAATGGTCTATTTAAAGAAAAGGAAAAGGAAAAATAAAATTTTGGATATTTATCTGTTCTCAAAAGCACACACTCTAAAGCTTCCTCCTTCCATTACGTATTCCAGATGGACAGTGATTAATATTTATATGTTACCTGTATGTAAGGGTGTAGGTCTATACATATGTTGCTTATAGCATGTTTAAATGTGTGTTATGTATATGTACAATTTGAGAGCAAGCAATTAAATTTCATTTTTAATGTGTGCCATTGTGCCCACAGTAAAAAAAATGACAATAAAGGTTATCTATCTTATTCTATACAATAAAATAAATAGGATGAAAGACTGGTTTGTGAAGGATTGCTTAGCATCAGCTTCATGGTCATGTTGGAAATTTGAACTCATACTTTCCCCAATTAATTGTTACCACAAAATAATGGAGAAGACAAAGTACATTTGATTAAGTAATAAAAACAATACAGTCCTTTTTAATTAGATATACTTCTCAGTTTAAGTAGTTTTGGGGGCTCACAAGTAATCCAAAGAATTAGTTTTATTGTATCACAAAGCCAAAATACCAGAACCATTCTCTACCTAGAAAACAATTGTTTTCTCTAGAATTGTTTGTTCATAGATAACTTTCTATGCCCTGCTTTCAAAACAAAATGATAACAAAGTTGCAGAGTAAATCAAAAATAGTTTTTCATAAGAGAATAGCAAAGGTTATTACTAAATGACATCAAGAATCATTTAGACAAGAAAGGGAAATACTACTAAGCCAATTCCACACACAAACATCCAGAAAAAACCCCAGTGCTGGTAACTCATACTTTATTATTACAAAGTTGCTCACTTCACATTCTTCTTTTACCTTTTGCCTAGATATAAAGATAAATACAGACTAACTATATTCAATAAATAAGAATGTCATTACCAAGTTTATTTCTCTTCATTTCATCAGCAGGTAATATTACAAATGAGATTACTCTAAATGTACATTGTTGTTTTAAGGAAAAGAGAGATATTGACGACATCACCAATTTGAGGTTATTCCTGGTGACTTATATGACTAAAACTATGCAGTTTTCTTCTCAACAGCACAAAGTGATTTGCTGTTGTCTCCTTCTCCATTCCAGGCCAATTTGTCACCCTGGAATGCTTGGGCTGTCTTCTACCCAAATACTAATCAGGCTTGACCATGCTTACTTACCAACTTCAGACACTATTTGGCAACTGCAGCCATAACAAACAATGCTAAACAATATTTAAGTACCTCTTATCCTTGAGATATGCTAGATCAAAAGCAAGCACCAGTAAAGAGATTATTGAGTACTAAGTAAACAGTTTGTGTCCCTAACCTGTCCATGATCCGTGAAGGAAGAAATTCATTTCTTTTTATTATTATTATTTTAATTCCTTCAAGTCAGTTTTTGATTCCTGGCGACTGCCTGGACTAATCCCTGCAGTTTTCATGGCAAGCTTTTTCAGAAGTGATTTGCCACTGCCTCTTTCCTAGGGCTGACCGAAAGTGACTAGTCCAAGATCACCCAGCCAGCTAAAGCTACACTACATCAAACTTGCTTTGTTCCTTTTACGTGACAAATCTATAAAATGTATTGCCCACACAGCAAGAAATGTTGCTTTAACAAAGTTATCCATATTCTGACAAATTAACTGGAGTATTTACTTCTCACATATCAGGAAGACTTCACAATCTGGTATACGTCAAAGTATTTATCATTTTCTTCCTCTTGCAGTGAGTGACTGAACCAACTGCATTATTTTCCATTAAAAAAATAAGAAAGAAAATGAACACTCTTTGGTCACAGTGTTCTATTTCAATGCCTATGCAATTAGTATGATTTATAGTTTCATCTATATGCATACACACATTGCAATTCCCTTTTGGCTGTTTATTAGTATGCACTGCCTATATCTTTTTGACAGATCTGGAAGAAGAGAAACATCTCTTCTTGTATTCTAAAAATACTCGGTTAAATAAGAGACAAAATTATTTCTAATACTTGAAATTTCTAACACAGAGTTCCTTCCTTCTCGTATTTTCTCCACAACAACCCTGTGAGGTGGGTTGGGCTGAGTCTATTACCCCAGAATACCTTTTATTTCTCTGCTTAAATCATTAAAGTTATCACATATTTGCCCTTTTCAAAGGGAAAAGTACCTTGAAATAATAGGGAGTCTAAAAACACACTTTTCAATGCAACCTTTTCCTTTATTAGTCTTCAGCTAACACATCACAGAGTCTCATACACAAACAATATCTCAATCTGATTGGGTTGGCAGCTTGGGGGTTCAAGTATCTTCTTCTCCATCAGCTCCTGTTTGTATTTTTAAAGGTCAGTTAATCAGTTGTAGTGGCATATAAGCTGAAAGCTGACTTCTATAGTCTTTTGTAGGTAATTGTTTCCGATGGTCCAAAATCTACCCTTCCTTATAAAGATCTAAAAATATGGCAATGTAACAGATAAACAATTATCTTGCCTACATTTTCCTGGTCTTAGTCTCGTCTATATTTTACTTCCTTGAAATTTGCTAGTCTGACATCTTCTCCAAATCCCAACTCTCTTTACTTTGATTTGTTTCTCCTTTTTTTTCAAGGATCAACTTTTCCTGTGGATTTCACAGCAAATCTCAATTTTAAAATCTGCTTTGTCCTCCATTCTCTCTCTCCTCTTGTCTCTTCCTTAATGGTTTGGGGGCATTTATTCAACAAATAAGTGGCAGATGTGATTGCTTTTGTGCTCTGAAATTAATCACGTTTTTATTTTGATTTTTTTTTACAAAGACAAATCAAGGTTGGACTTGCTTAATACATAGAATGGAAATCACTAGGGAACATCATAGCTATAGGCTAGGTTCTAAGAAACATCCTAGAAATTAGCAATAGCAAACTATTTCACTATCATTGCCAAGAAAAATACCTACATAAATCCATGAAATCAGAGCTTGATTTGATAAAGATTTTACCTTTAGAAAGTTAACTCTTTCATCAGTCACCACCTGGGTCCAATCAGCACTTTTTATGCAATAACCCAAGAGTATAGCTTAATGGTCTTTAGAGGCATTTTTATAAAAACTAATTAGGCAAGAAAAGAAGTAAACACCTCATGGTATAAATTATGTTTTAGGGTATCTTTTTCAAAGCAATATTATACAGAAAGGAAATGAGAAACTATAAATAAACTGAAGAGCAATGATGCAATCTGATCACAATACAATTTGTTTATAATATTGTCTTTCAATATTGTCTTTTGTTGTAGGTAGAGATAATATGTAACATTTTTAAAAAAGTGTTGCAAGAATTTGATGAAACCATTTTCTCTAATTGTGAAGTATTTAAACACAGACTTTCACTGCAATTTGTATATCTTATTTGAAACTGGAGCTACATACATACATATACATCATGATATTATCTTGAGTTAAGAAACATTGTGCAAAGAGCAAGAAATTATAAGCAAAATAAAATGTAATCCCAAATTAATAGAATAAGAGATAGAGCTAAATCTAGTTTTCAACACCTCATTTATTATACCTCTCTAAACCTTTCTAATCTTGCAAATCATCCATGTTTCTATCATGTTCAAGCATTGATTTATACAATATAGTGACCTTCGTTCTTTGAACTTCTCATATTTCCTAAGGATTTCTTCAAATCCATCCATCTGCAGGTTTGCTTTTTCCTTCTTCTTAGCCCATTCATCCTTCTTTTTATATACAGTATTTGAGTTGCAATTAAGACCTTATTCTTTCTATATGACAAATATCTTCAACACAATTCTTCCACACTGTTCACTCAATTTAGCATTCAGTTTATATTTATGTATCATCCATTTATTCTTTAACCTGATTCTTCTTTTATTACATTCTTCTTAAATAATCCATTCCCACTACTTCTCGTTTCTCCTGAAATACGGTACTACTTTTATATAACAAAGTGAGCAGAAGTAAGTTGCTATATATAGCCATTTTGCTTCTTTCAAGACACATTCATTCCTTACAACACATCACAAATTACCCACTACTTTTCTTTCTGCAGGTACCCATCTTTCTTCACATTTTAGTAAACATTTTTAAAATATATGCTTGTTCTATTTTTTCTATTTATGCATAGCCTGGAATTGTTCACTTCACTTTCTCTATCAAACAGAACTACCTTTGTATTTCATATTAATTTTCGTCTATACCAGGGGTCGGCAACCTAAAACGGTGAAAGAGCCACTTGGACCCGTTTCCCTCACAAAACAAAAACAAAAAAAAACAAAAAACAAAAAACTGGGAACGCACACATGTAACGGAGCTTGATTGAAGAGTGGAACCTAAGGCGACACATGCACTGGCCCTGCCTGTGTCCAGCTCTGGTATGGACGGCTCTGCCGTCCAGGCTTCTCCTTCCCTCGGAAAAGACTGCTCTCTCCCCTTTGCTGAAGTGGCGAGCGGGGGGCCTTGCCTTGGGCACAGCGGGGCTGCTGGAGGCTAAGACCCCAAAGGCGCGGACCAGGCTATCTTCCATAGTGGCGGGAAGGCAACCACAGGAACAACAGCCTGCTCATCTCCCCCAGTGGTGGCGCGGCAACTGCAGAGCCATCTGGTGATGTTTACACGGCCCTCCACGTGACTGAGATAGGCAGCACTGCCCCGCTTTGCCCAGCCCTAGCAGAATTGGGGCCACGCCAAAGGAGCCAGCTGAAAGTGGTGCCTTGGACTACCCCTCTGAGGACGGCGCTTTGGAGGAAGGCCAGAGTGCGGCACCCTTGCCAGAGAACTAGTCAGGGCCACTAACTAACATGTGAACCCCACGCTAAGAACGGCCCTGCCTAAACTAAGCTCAGTCGGACAGGAAAGTTCCAATCTGATGGAGTCAGCTCGGTCATTGGGATCAC